AGTGTACAAATATTCCACAGCAATCCCCATTGGTAATAAAGAACAAGTCAACGAGCGTTACAATAATGCCTAGACAGCCTCATCTTCTGGAGCACAGAACAACACTGTTAAGAGGGGAGCACCATGGAGACAGCTTGGACAAGGCAGAGATGTGAAAGTCCTCATATTTATATCCTATTTCCTAGGAGCAGCAAAAGTCCTGCATCTACGGAAATTCGTACACACACCATTACTTTTTTCATTGTTCACTTTTCTTTTTTTCTCTTTGGTCCTGGGGATTAAATTTTGCGTATGTGTCAGGCAAGCAGTCTATCACCTTGCTGTACACTCAGCCTACTATTTACTTCTATCTTGACAAGGTCTCACTAAGTTGCCCAGGCTAGCCTTGAACTCACTTTGGAGCCCACGTAGGTCTTTAACTTGCCATCTCTCTGTCTTTGCCTCTCAGGTATCTGGGATTGCAGACTTGAGCCATCAGGCTTGGCTCATACCATTTACTGAAAACAAATAGATAAATGTGGCTTTCCAGACTTGACCATGAAGTAACTTACTAAAAAGGGAACACTGAAAGGTATGCCAATAATAGACACCCTATCCTGCCAGTACCAGGGGTGAGGACAAGGAAGATTAATAACAAAAAATAAAATATATACACTAGCTTGACTCAGGACTTACCAATAACAAAACTAAAAAGAGGACATGAAGCTCAGAGGGAGGAGGGTGAGGGTAGTAGGGAAAGTCAGAAGACAGTACTAGTGGATATATTTGATCAATATGTATTATATGGATGTATGGAACTTCCAAAGAATAAAAAATGATTAAAACTAATAGCCATATCATAACAGTACTGAGCAGAGGAGGAAAGACAATGAGAAGGGCTGGGGAGTAACAGAGAGAATAGAAATGTCTCTAAGAGGAGGAGGTAACATATGTGGCCAGTGATATCCAAGTGTTTGTGGAAAGAAAGGATCCTTTTGGGGGAAAGTAAATCCTTCCCATGATCTATTCCACTGAGACAACCATGATGAAGACTCAGGAGGATCCTCAGTGCTCTGAGTCCAGGCACCTCATGCTGCTTGTAGCTCCAACTACTCCAGTCCTGGTGACATCACCGTAGCTGTGAACCGCATTCAGATCCAATGACTCCCCACACACCATGCAGCACCTCAATGTGCTACCAATATGAAAACAAGGAGAAAAACAATACGCATGAAGAATTTCAATAAATGTTACACAAATTCTCATGCCACTGACACCAGAGTTTTAGTGCCCTGGAAAATGTACACAGGAAAGCATATCTCCAATATATTAGACAAATTAGGTGTCATTGCATTTAAATTCCTAGAGATATGCCCTTAGGCAGATTTTTTTTTTTGTTTCCTATTTGGCATAGTAAACCATATGGTGTTTGCAGAGATCTTTTCCTCTGGACACAGCTGAGGTTGGACAGGCATTATAATGGCCCTAGAAAAATAAACCTTTGCATTCCAAAATTTTGACAAGTTTTAGGTGAACACTCTCACAGCTGCAGAAAGCAGTGAGTCAAAGTTTCCAAAGCCCCCTTCTCTTGAAAAGACATGTAAATGTTCTGGGAATGAGGAAAACTATGGAAAGATTATCCAGTTCCTAGGCACTCAGACTGAAGATCATTAAAATTTATTATTGTCATAATTTTCACAATATCATTCTCAAACCACTAAAACGGGTGAAATTCTAGTCACAAGAAAAGCACCAGACCACTTAAAAAATTACTTTTGAGATGTTGATTCTACACGGCTTGCAAAGGGCCTGGTAAAAGCAGAAGCCGTTTTCAGAAAAACAGATTCCTCCACAGGGGAGATGAGGCTAGCGAGGCCTGGCTCTTCTCATGTGGGGTCACTTACGGGTGCCTCCACGATTATCAGGCAGTGTGTCCCAATCTCAACATGAAACCAAGGCCTCTGGGACAGAGCCGCCAAGAATATGGAGATGATCTTCCCTGCAAATTAAAACCACCACAAACACTGCTAGCAATTTAGATATGGCTGGATTACACATGTCATTGGAAAATGTTTAACTCCAGTTTCCAGAATGCACTTTATTACTGCCATGGATTATTTGTGTGCATCTGTGATGCTAAAAAAAGCTGTGTACTCTGTCACCATTTAGAATGTCTGGAAGGAGAGCATGCTCATGCAGTCTTCGAGAACATGCTTATGTGGGTTCAGAAGACAGAATCTGAGGGGCCTACATTTTTCTTAGGGAGGAAGAACCTTGGAAAAGGTCTAGAAAAAAAGGGCTGTGGCTGGCATGAACCAAATTCCACATGGCTCCACTTGTTTAAGCATAAGACATCAAGACAAAAAGACGGCCCTCTAAAATCTTTAGCATACATCGTACTTAGGACAAAAACTCCAAATGATCCAATGCCTAAACCAGCCAGGCTCTCAAGTCAAGGAGAAATCAACTCACACAAGCCAGTCGTGAATGGCTCACTGAGGGACACAGTGTACTTTTGTACATATTTGCAGGAAGAAAGAAAAAGAATAAATTAATGTTTACTGAATATTTGCACCCCCACTGCCAAACAAAATGAAACAAGACAAAACCAACTGCAAGACATGAGGTGATCATTATTACATCCATTTTATTTAAGGAGACTTAAACTTCTGGCAGGAGATCAATTGTCCGAAGTCTTTCCAGAGGTGAAAGAATCCATTGAGGCCAACTATGAATTCTGACGAGCCCCTATAGTGTCAGACACCAATTTCCCTTCATGTGTCATCTACATATGTGTCTCTCTAGCCACTCCAACGCTGATCTGTGCGGTGTACCGCCTTCTCAAAGGCTGCATGGCAGCAACAGCTTCTGTCTCAATCAGCAGCACCCCGGACGTGTGCGAGCACAGGTTTACCTTCCCCAGCGGAGAGTTCCTTCCTTCAAATTTCTGCCTCTGACTGCTGTCTACAAGTTAAACCCTCTTTCTTTCTTGGCAAGTGATGCCAACATCTGCTGGGCACTGTGATCAGGAAGACCTAATCTACCTTGGCTTTGCCTTATCTGAGCTCAGTCCTAACATCTCAGAATGTTACATGTCCCATCCCTTTATCCCTGTGTTCCCTTCACTGCTGCCCCTCCCAAATGACTGCTCAGCCTCCAATCCCTTAGATTCTGCCATCCTCCCCATTGCCAAAAAAACTGATTGTCACAAAATAGGATATCACTGGCATTTTACTGTTTCAGAGATTTCACCAAAAGCCAGTTTTCAAGGCATGGTTAGCAGAGCCAAATGCTAAAGATGAGGTCCAAAGACAGGCCACTGGGTTGACATTCATGAAGTTATTCATGACCTTTGGTCTGTACTGAGTTGGTCACACAGGAAGACCTCAATCTGGCCTGAATTTCCAACCTGAATCTTGAGACCTACCTTCCATTTCTGTTTTCTCCTCAGTACTCCCTATCTGTGTTTAGTGCATGCTACACCTTTACACCTCTTTGGTTCATCTGGGAAGTTTCTACTTCTCCTGATTTTTGTTTGAGATTCCCCCTCCCCCACCTAGTGCTAGGGACCAATCCCAGGGCTAGGCAAGTACACTATCACCCAACAAAATTTCCAGCCCTGCCTAGCAAATGTCTATTCCCCCATCCTTCAAGGTTTCCTCACACCTGTTATCTTAAGCTTCCCTAAACAACTGTTCCCACACCTATGTTCCCAGATGTCTCACCATTACAGCATTGACCACTGAGCTTCATAGTCACTGGTGACTCACTACAAGCCCTTCAAAAGCAGAGGCGATGTTATTCATCTTTAAACCACCGTGTCTAGTTCAGTGCTTGGATCATAGTTGGATGCTCAATAAATCTGTGTTACGTGGACAAATTAATAGAGCTTTTCCTGTCTGCAGTGTTCAATTAGACTGTAGCTTTATTATCAGAGCAACGTGTGAGAACACATGTTACACATTAAAGAGCATAGCAGTTTTCATGACACATCTGAAGTCTGGATTTCTACTGAAATAGTCTTCAATTCTATAAAAGTAAGAACAACACATTCCCTATAATAAAGATATAGTAGATGTTCTGAAAACATCATGGCTACCCTCCCTAAAGATTCACTTTTATAAAGCTCCACTTACACCATTTACTCACCCAGCCATTCACTATCCCTTAATTCACATCTATGCCTTTCAAAAGAGTTCAGATAAATTTTCACTCATCAGCATATTCCATCTGCCCATTCATTTTCCTCGAACCATCTCATACTATAGGGGAAAACACCCAAGTCCATTATACCAAATAATTTAAATTCTATATTATTTCTTGAGAGTGGAGACATGGTTTTTGTTGTCTATCAGATCTGTACCCTCAACCAAACTTTAAATCAAAAGAGCTCACCTAGTATTGTGTGTCTAATATTTCCAAGAAATGTTAGGTACTAGACAGCAAAATGAAAGGTAAATTCTACAATGGGATACATTATACTGTTGTGGAATATTTGTATACACTTCAAAGATGTGTCTTTTCCAAGGCACTTTCTGATTGGTTTAATAAAGAGCTGAATGGCCAATAGCTAGAAAGGAGAGGATAGGTGGGATTTCTGGGGAGAGAAAGAACTCTGGTAAGAAGAGAGGCAAGTTGTCAGCCAGACTTGGAGCAAGTAGGGCTTGTGTGCTGAGGAAAGGTAAAAGCCATGTGGCAGAAGGTAGATTAATAAAAGCAGATTAGTTTGAGTTATAAGGGCTAGTTGGGAAAAAGCTCAAACTAAAGGTCAAACTTTCATAATTAATAATAAGTCTCTATGTCATTATTTGCAGGCTGCTGTTGCAAGAAAGGCCAATGAGAACACGTATTACATTATACTACTAACATTTATCCTCCTAATTATTATCTTTCAGTCCATGAAGTTACAAGGAGGCAAGCTACTTGAAAAGGTAGCCAATGCCACACAGTGTGTACCTGAAGGCAGAGCACTCCCTGCTTGTGCTCCTCAAAGAATTCCCATGTGCAGTAGACAGACTCACCTGGTGAGTTCTGGGGAGATGACACGGGGGAGCCTCGTGGCGACTGACAGTAGCTGGGGTGGAGTAAGGCATGTGGAGGCACATATGACATTATCTCTTCCTCAAATAAGCTAGAAAAAGATGTAAAACAGAATGTATATATTAGTCAAAGAGTCTGAGAAAACTGCTTCCACAATGAGGAGGAGGAAGGATCCTTACAGGCCTCTTGTTCTCCTCCATGATAATTTAACAGGTAGTTTCTTTCTACAATTTCATACTTGAAAACATCCATGTACAGGTTGTAGGAGGAAAACAATGCTGCCATTAGCCATGTGACTTACTAGAGGCGCATACAGATGAGGTAATAAAAGAGCGGTTTACCACACCGCTAACCACACCCACTTTAGGCATGACTAAAGACATATACGGACGGACGTAAAGACGTATATGGACATAGGCGGTGAACTACATCACTTTCCTGTGGGTCCTGCATGTTCAGATTATACAACAACAGTCAAACAGTCTAGGAAAGAGCAGTTTCTTGCCCAAATAACTAATCTTGCCATATTGAAAACAAACTCCATAACGAGCTTCTTTGATGCCTATCTTCCTCTCAGACGTAATTGGTGCTGCCAGGAGCAGACATTTCTCATTGTCAAGAAAAACCCTAAACCATTTAAAATGCCATTTTCTGAAGGTCTTTGAAAGGTTTGAAGACCATCTATCTCAAATATATTTGTGAATATCTAGAAAACCTAACTTACCTAACTATAAGTTCTGACTATTATAACTATCTATAGTCTATATTTAATTATGCATTATTTTTTAAAAGATCAGTATAAGCACAATACTTAATCAAGAGGAGAAGTATACACATCACAAAATTGACCTTGAATTTGTATCAATAAATGAAAAACCATACCCATACCATAATTCTAGTGACGTAGTTCACCGCCTACGTCCGTGTACATCTTTACGTCTGTCCGTATACGTCTTTATTCATGCCTAAAGTGGGTGTGGTTAGCGGTGTGGTAAACCACTCTTTTATTACCTCATCTGTATGCGCCTCTAGTAAGTCACATGGCTAATGGCGGCATTGTTTTCCTCCTACAATAGGTAAAACATATTTTTGCCATATGCATTTTCAATATTTTCTGTAAGTATTTAGCATGCTTGAATTTTGCCCACCTCCCTCAATCAACAGTATTATTGTAGTCTGTGTAGATACATAAGGGTCTAGGCTAGTCCTTTTGCTTGCTGTGTATCAGGACATTCTGTGAACATACTGGTTTATTTATCCCTATTTTTGTGGAAAGTATTTCCTTTTGCTCCATGTGGTAGTTTGGCCCCCATAAGCTCATAGGGAGTGGCATTAGGAGGTGTGACTTAGAAGAAGGTGTGGTCTTGTTGGAGAAAGTGTGTCATTGTCATTGGGAACAGACTTTGAAATCTTCTATGCTCAAGATGCTGCCCAGTGTCTCAGACCACTTCCTGTTGCCTATAGATCAAGATATATCTTATTCCAGCACCATGTCTGCCTGCCTACCACCATGTCCCACCATGATGATAAAGGACTAAACCTCTAAATGTAATCCACCTCAATTAAATGTTTTTCTTTAGTAAGAGTTGCTGTAGTCATGGTATCTCTTCACAGCAATAGAAACCATAACTAAGACACCCAACTGCCTGCTTTTTTTCACCAATGGCACTATGAATTGTTCTCCTGTTTGTGTGAGTTCCTCAGTGTGTATATGATACATACACAAAAGCATAATTGCTCAGTAAAAGCATATATCCACCCAACCTGATGTAACCCCTGCACCAAGCCTTGCAGTTCAACTAGAATTGTGGCTGGTTACAAATCTACACCCAGGATGGTATTCCACCAAACATCTACCTTGACATTTTGGATTGATTAAATCCAAAGGCACCTTCAAAAATTACCCACACTCACTGAGGTGGACTTCAGTGTTTACCAAAAATGATGGCATATACTAAATCACCATCCCACAAGGGTAAAAGTTAAGGATAATGGAATTTCATTTTAAGTGCAGCCATAAGGCCACCTACCTTAAAAAGCAAACTAACTAATATTATTTGAATTCAGTACCTCTTATATTTTAGTTTTTACCGATGTTATTCTGATATAAACCTGTATGTATATTTATAGCTTCTATTAGGTACCTGGATTTTTTTCACTATGTGCTTTCTAAGATGATGGCATTTTTTCTAAGTGTTTAATCTGCAAAAGAATATGAAAATATTATATGTGAAACATTACAGGATTGGGGACGGAGCACTGGCTGACTGTTAAGAGCTTTTGTTGTTCTTATAGAGGACCTAGATTCAGTTCCCAGTAGCCACATGGTGGCTCACACCCATCTGTAACTCCAGTTCCAGTGGATCTGACTCTGCAAGCACAGCACACACATGCAAACTAAACATTCATATACAAAGAGACATGCAATTCTTAAAAATTTAAAAACATCTTTAACCTTTTTAGTTATATAAGATATTGCCAATTTGTGTAACAGAGAGGTTGTCTCAACAGAACCTTCAATCTCCCCAAACCAGACAATACGAGAGTGCCTCAGCCTCATTTGACATCATCAGACATTTTGGGTTCTACAATGTCATGTAAAATGGTGGCTCGTTGTACAAAATTGCATCTTATGGTTACCAGTGTCTTCCCACACAGGTATCAACCAAATACTCGTTAATTCCGTGAGGTGCCACCTCCTTTCCTTTTCCCAGTTTGTGGTTCTCTTCTTTTGAAACTATTGAAAGCCATCTTTCAGCTGCTCATTATCTGTTGTCAAACCACTCTTCCAGCTTGCTGCATTTTTCCTGCCTTTGCTTGAGGCATCATGCATTATACAACTTTAAAAAAATTTTTCTATGTCCAAATTTATTAGCTACTTCCTATGTTAATCCCGATAAAGGTATATTTTAAATGAAATTGGTTATTGAAAGAATATAGGAAATGAATAATCAATAACAAATTCAACAGTCACTTAATATTTTTTATATTTTATAATAGTAATAGCAAAATATCTTAAGTGGGTTCAATTTGATTTGGATAATGTCCCCAAGCTACAGTTTCACACTGTGGTTTAATGACAAGTACATTTTACGAGGACTGATTCTCCTCTCTAAGAAATAAAATCCCAAAGAGTCAGAGATTTGCTCAGGAAGTATGTATCAAGTACACTCTTAAGTATATAAAGAACGGAGAATGTGAATGGAATCCCTATATTTCCAATAAATCGTAAATATTATTTATTAGGTAAGCATAGATAGTATATTTTACCATTGTGGACTCTTAATAGATACATTTGATAATTCAAATGAAATGATGGTCTAGAATTGAGTGCATAACATGTCATAACTATGGAATTATTATGTGTGAATAAATTCTTCAGCTTCTTCAAAGGCCCTTTAGTGTCAGTGAACATGCTTATTTTCCCAAGCAAAAGATGATGTAGTCTTGCTCTTTATTTGTGAGATTTTTAAACACTTCAAAATTCATGTAGCATATAAAAAATTCATGTATACTATGATCTTTAACAAATGACAAATATTTTAGCAATAATTAACTGAAATATTTAAGATTATATCATCTAAAGATTACTTAATTAAAGACAGATAGAGAATAAAACTGTTAGCCATGGCCAAACCATTTTGAGAACCTTTTGGTTTGGTGTCAGTGAGACCACAGTAATCCAAATTCCAGACATATTTTCTTAATTCCTGCCTCTGCCCCCTGCAGACACCCTGATAATGTTTATCTGTCACCTGACATTCTTCACTTACTACTCACCATTCTTTGTTCACGCCTAGCAATGACCAATTTCAGGCCAAAGGGAAACTTTTCAATCTCCTTCCCCATTTCCCTTTCTGCCCTATAACCAGCCCAGCTTGTGTGCATATGGGGACTCTCATTCTCGGAGATTCCCTTCTAGAGATCTTTTTTTCTCCCAAATAAAAGCCTGTATTGTCTTAACTTGTCTGTTTCCTTGTCTGTCTTTCTTGCTGCTGACCTTTTTAGAGATGCATGGCTTTTGTTTTTTATTAACTTATTCTTATGCCAGAAGTGTACACTTTGACAAAGACATCATATTTTGGCATTAATAGATCAATAGTCTTCGTGACTATCTGGCATACTATACTATTTTCAGAACTAGTTCAGTATACCTCAGTTAAAAGGGTTCCTGCCAGACTGAGAAGTGGCACTCTGTCCCCAAGGATCTTCAGAGTAGAGTGAAGACAGTTTTGGAAAGTGATTGTACCTATGGAATCTTGCTTCAATAGAAGCAAAGAGAGTGCTTTTTAACAACAAAGGACTAGCAAGAAATATGGCAACAAACACTAGGAAGGAGAGACTCAGAGTCAGGGTCAAAATAAACAGAAAAAAACCTCACAACTAAACAAACAAACAAAAAACACAACACCTTGTGGCCCTTAGCACTCAGGGATAAGTTGCTTGAGTGAATAGCACACCATTGTTGCCTTTGATCCTAGGGAGACCTCCAGGGCAGTTTCCCCACTTAGTTGTGATTTGCCTGTGCTTGAGAGATGATATCAAACACGAGAAAGTTCCAGTTGCCCTTTCAAAGTACTCTAAAATTTAAAACCAAACCCAATTTAACCACCATGAAAGAAAATACAATGGTTCAGCCCCATGAAGCGCCATCAAATTGGCAGGACCACTGACCAAACTTCAACCTTTTCATTTCCCAAACCTAAACTCTCAAAACCATAAAGTAAATAAGCTATGCCTAAAATCTAGCAAAAAGAGACAAAGCACATTTTGAGGAAGAAAAAAAAAGTGGAAAGAAAATATAGACACAACCTCTGCTCTGCACCAAGGGGTATGCCGCATAGACTTATATGGCCACCTCCTGTTCCACTCATTGAGTGGGCATTTGATTTGTTTGTCTTTATAACCTTTCCCTTTCCCAGTGGTATACAAGCATGAGTAAGTCTTGGGGGTGCCAGATGTAATCTGAAATGAAATATTATGAAATCATGTCTTCAATGAGATGTTTCTTTAAGACTGAGGAGGAAGGAGACATTTTTAGGCTATCAACACTGGCATACGACTTTCTAAAATGCTCTGCAGTATCTGACAGCAGGAGATGTCTCCCCGAAGTCCTAGTGTTCCATACCTCAGTAACATGACAAGGTCTGCATCACTGGAAAGCCTCACCAGTCCAGGGGTCCCTTCAGTTCGGATAAACTGGATCTTCTCCCTGTTGAGTCGAGGAAACAGTGCAAATGGGTGTGTCAGGCTTTGGGATGTAACTCACTGGATAACTACATTTTCTATCACAGCCATAGCATCTTGGGTACCTATTAAACGGCACTGTGTCATGGAACCTTAGAATACAAATCCCCAACAGACAACAGTCCTTGCTTTTGAGAAGAACATGGTAGACTGCAATGAGGTAGCAGAGCCTTTGTCTAGCATGCATGAGGCCCAAAATTCATCCCCCAGCACTACAAGAGAAACAAACAAAAACAAAACACATGTGAACAATGCCCTGCTTCCCGAAAAGTCACTCCACCTTGAAGATCAGAACCAGGAAGGCAGGGTCCCACGAGAATGTTAGCATCATATTTGGAAGCACATGATGGAAATCAAGGCCAATTATTTAGTGAATTCTTTTTATAAGAGATCTAAGAATTAGCTTTAAAAATCTAAATTAGGAAAACCTTATCTTGTAGAAAAATGAACAACTCCTTAACCTACGAAGTCCTGTGTAAGGGTCAATAATGATATGCTTTGATCTTGAAGCTATCTCTAACAAATATGTTCTTTATCTCTTCAGTCTATCACCACAATAAAGCAAGGCAAATGAAAGAAAAGCAAAAAAAAAAAAAAAAAAAAAAAAAAAACAGGCTTGCACATTCCCTAACTATGTTCACTGGAATTGAACAAAGCAATGATACAGATGCTATGATGTTGATTGCAGCATGGCCTGCAGACATCCTGTGAATAAGAAGGATATCATATTACCCATCTGAGTCACAAGGAAGATACAGTGAAGGGAAGAAAGGAGGTTGGCATCAGAGGCAGGAGATCAGTAGAAAAATGGCTCATCACTTTCTACAGACTAACTACTAGGCAATGAAAACAACTGGTTTTGATTTTTCAGATGAGAACATACCAAGGCGGGCTGAGACTAGTTTTCTACCAGGCTAATGTATTTGTCACAGTGACAAGCTATGGGTCATGCTTCCAGGAGACAGTGCTAGAGCACACCATCTGGTGTCTCCCAAATCCTTCCTTCCTTCCTTCCTTCCTTCCTTCCTTCCTTCCTTCCTTCCTTCCTTCCTTCCTTCCTTTCCTTCCTTTCCTTCTCTTCCCTCCCTTCCCCCTCCCTCCTTCCCTCACTTCCTCCCTTCCTTCTTTCTTTCTTTCTTTCTCTCTTTCTTTCTTTGTTTCTTTCTCTAGCTTTCCTTCCTCCCTTCCTCCCTCCCTTCCCCACCCCTCTGTCTCTTTTTTCTGTTTTTAGTTTTTCAAGACAGGTTTTCTCTGTGTAGCTCTGGTTGCCTTGTAACTCATTTTGTAGACCAGACTGGCCTCAAACTCAATCACAAGGTGGTAAAAAGTCATGCATGTCATCTACAGTATCCAAAATATGCTTCTATCATTTTCATTGTTTTGATCACCAAAATGAGAGGACTCTTGTCTCCTGAGTGCTGGGATTAAAGTCTGAGCCACCACTCCCAGCTCTCTAGTACTTTCTTATTCTACTAGTCACACATCTTTTCTTCAAGCATTTCTCAAGCACCTAGTCTGTGCTGGGCACAGTCTCCCATAGACTTGGAATCCAATAAAGAAAACTACAAAATTGTCTGTCCTGGAACTTATGGTGCTATAGAAAATCAGAGGCAATCCCCAATATTATATAAAACTATGCAAAGTGCTCTGTTCATATAACTGAGCTGTTTTAAATTAGACTTACACCTAGCCTAGATGCCCTTTCTAAAGTCTTTTAATGTAAAAATAAAAATGAGCTTAGTTCCTGATGATTAAGTGAATGGACCAAGGGAGAGGAAGAGGAATTCAGCAGAGTGAGTCTCAGAAATGACACATACGTTCCAAGAATGAAGAAGGAAATGCTCCTTGGAGCATTTGCCCAATATCCTATAGACCAGTGTTCCTCAAAAGGCTACCTTTGTCTACTAGAAATCTGAAGACATAGTCCCAGATTCTGCAGCAAGTTTTAAGTCTTCTCATTTGGGTGATCAAAACAATGAAAATGACAGAAGCATATTTTGGGTACTGCAGATGACATGCATGACTGTTTACCACCATGTGACTTCATGTCCCATGATGTGCAGTTACAAGACAAGCACTTAGCAACTAGACAGGGACTCTTCCAAGTGTTAGTGAGCAGGGCTATCTGCCCTTAGGCCACCAAGGCCTTGATGTGAAGTATGACAACAGTGGCTGTTTTCTGCTCCCACACACTTCTCTTCCTGACTGGAAAAACAGAGCTTTACTACTGCACTGTTAATTTATATCATGAAAATGATCAAGGGAAACTAAGTAATATAAGTTGCCATAGGCTAAGGAGAAAATAAGGAGATGGATTTAAAAAGGATATTATGCAGTTATGTTAAATAATGCCTGAAAGACAGCATGTCTTATTCTACCAACAAAAGCTTTGCAGTATCCTGCACATAGAAAAGTGGTGGAATTCACACATCATGAGATGCATTCATAATAGTTTCACTATAATATTGGGGGATATTCTAAGTAAACTGGTGGGCTAAACCAATGAATCAGTAAAAAACAAGGAAGCTTTCTGTTGTGACGGTGTCTGTGATAATGTCTAAGATGCATGTCACAGACCATCAAAGACCAAAGCATAGGATTGAGTCAAACACTGGAGCAACAGAAGACAAGTGTCTCTTTCTACTGGTAATAGTCTCAGCATCAATTATTTGACTCCTGAAAAGAAATCTCAGATAAAGTATTAATTCTATCACCTCTCAGTATCCTGCCAAAGATAAGTCTAGAATCCGTGTGTATCAGTTTAACATGTGATAATCCTCAGCCCAAGGACAATATATTAAGTGGATTTTGGAAGCAGGGAGATGGGACAGGAGCTCGCCTCAACCTCTCCACACATCACCCTGACACAGCACATCTTCAGGGGACTTACAAAAAAAAGAATTAATTTGCATCATATTAATTTCTTAGTTGTAACTTAATTTATACATCTCTTGGTTTATCTTTTATAAGAATTATAATCATAGGAAATTGATATGCATTTTATATTTACACATATTTAAGTTTCTCCAGAATAAAAGTGGCTACAGTCAATGTGATTGACCTATGGGACTTCTTTTCCTTTTAGAAAATGAGATTTGATTCATATGAATTTTCATACAGCTACATAGTATTTGGAATTAATATAGTTTGATACACCTTACTAATACATTTGACTGTAACTAGAAGATTCTGGATATTATTTTATTATATTTATTCAAGTTTATTCTGTTAATATATAGATTTGAAAAACAAAACTAAACAAAAAGAAAAAAAAGGAAAGCAAGCAAAAACCCTTTTGCCTTTGCCAGAAGTGGTGGCACAAGCTTTTACTCCCAGCACTCTCGAGGCAGAGGCAGGCGGATCTCTGTGTGTTCGAGGCCAGCCTGGTCTACAGAGTGAGTTCCAGGACAGCCAAGGCTATACAGAAAAACTCTTTCTCAAAACAAAAACAAAAAATGAAACAACAACAACAAAAAACAAAACCCAAAAAGAACAACAACAAAAAACAAAGAAAGAAAAAGAAAGAAAGAAGTGACCCTGTCACGTGAAGAAATGCTATTCAATCTTAGTGGTTTATAACCAAGATTATAAATTCCTTTTGAGACACGAGTTTCTTGAGGGCAAAGGTCCTTCCTCCTATATGCCTCTGCCCACATACTTCACAGTGTTTTATACACAGGAGAGCTCAGTAAAATATCACTCACATGATCAGTCAATGCCAAAAGAACAGACTCCTATCACCCACACTCCATGCTGGTAATAAACAATATTGCTATCATTTTCTACTGTGGCAGGAAAACAAAAAGATTCGGAAAGCTGATTTCAGATTCGTGACTAAATTGGCATCTACCCAGGGAAGTGAAAAGGCAGGTATGAAGGGATTAAAGGAAAAATGCTAAGCGGCATTAATGACAACTGCAGGAAAACATTGCCCATATGTGCTGCCTCTCACACTCGGCATGTAACCACTTCCTCCCAGGGCGTAGATGTGCCTCCAGAGAGTGACTCTCTGGCAGGAAGGAGGTCATTTGAGGACAAGGAGCAATGTCTTAAGACTGGAATTCCCACAGAAAACGTTCTCACTGAAGCCAATCTTCTCTGGTCTTGCAGTTATAGAAGGCACATGTTGAGGACAATCGGGGCCAGCAGCATGGACTCTGCATACTTGGGTTCCTGCACAGGCACTTGGTAACACAGTTGCTAATACACATGTTTCTAAACCTGCCCTAGGTGGTTGTAGAGACATGCCTGGAGTTCCCTAATGCTAAATAGCCAACAAAAGAAAATTAGCAATGGACATTGATGGTTATCACAGTCATAGGACAGTCTGCCTTGACAGATGGCCCATAATAGAAAGTTTCATTTTCTTCCTATTTGCCACTCTGTAGGTTTGTTTTAGAATGTGACTCTTCTGGACACACAGAAATGACATGAGTTAGTCACATGTTGAGGACATCTTATACATGGATATAAATCATCTACAGGCCAAGGACTAAGACTTGCTTAACTTTGCTTTTTCATCTTAAAACAAGCATATTAGAATACAAATACTTGGCTCAGAGCTTATTATATCATAGGTCCTCCAAAGATTTTAAACTCATAAGCCTGTTATTAGATGGGCCACATAGCTATTTATGTTTTTCAATAGAAGGCTAGGTTTCTGGAGATCTACTCTTTTTTCTGTGATGATGTTGGCAATACATTCAAATCATACTGTTTGTTCATTCCGTGGATATGTATTAAGGATTCTATGAGGAACTGTAGATTAAATATTGACCTCTCCATAAAGTTAGAATGATGCTATGAGTATCAAACAGATAGTTCATATTAAGGGTTTACACTTCTCACAATTCAATGGTGATGGGAACCATGCACCCAATAAAATACAATTCTATACACAGTAGTGCCCTTTTCTCTATGATCTCTCCCTCCCTCCTTCTCTCCTTATGATGTGAGGACCTGCATAACAATGCTTATGGCTTTAAAAATATTTATTTTTAGTTTTAATTACATATATATGTATGTGAGTACCAGTGCCCATGGAGGTCAGGGACACTGGAATCCCTGGGGCTGGAGTTACAGGTAGTTATGAGTCACCAAATGTGGGTGTTAGGAATCAAACTTGGGTCCTCTGAAAGAGTAGCAAGTTCTCTTAACCACTGAATTCACTTCTTTAGTCCCATGGCTTTTTATCTGGATTTCTGTTACCTATGGTCAACCATAGTTCAAAAACATTAAAAAGAAAGTTCCCAGATATAAATGAATTGATATTTTAAATTGTAACATATTGTTATATTTGCCCTATTTCATTTTGGAATTGTTACATTATTGCTGTGCCAAATTTATAGGTCAAATTTTATCATAAGTATATATCATGGCACATAGAGACTTGTGTTCCACAGGAACTAGCAGGCAAATACTGGGCTCTTAGAACTTAGTCTCTTAGGTAAGAATACACAAGTACAACAAAACCATTTTGGACTCTGTAAAAGGAGTTTAACTTTTGTGTGTCAATTATAGCCCATCATTCTAAAGAATCAATACCTATGAATACCAGATTGTATGGTGAGTTTTATATTATTTTGTTATGCATATGATAATTGAGAGTATATTCATAAATTGAAACTATAACTCCCTGTACATTTACTTTAAAATCAAGATACTCCCAAAATGCCCAAGTGAGACATAAGTGTATGTCAAAAGCCCACCACACAAGTATTCAAATAAGATGAATAGGAAATATTTTGTAAAACTTTAGCCCTCAGAAATTTCTTCTGTCTCTCTGTCTGACTCTGTCTGTCTCTGTCTCTGTCTCTCTCTCTCAAGACTCTAGAGACAGGAATTGTTGAAAGTCACTCCAGCAAGCCCTCCTTCACAGAAGTTAATGATGACCTAAAGAAGCCCTAGCTGCAGTTCCATTACACAGCCAGAACTACATGGTCTCATTAATATGTATGTCAGTCTCAAAACTAGTGCCTTTGAAAATCTGAAGAAGTTAAGGACAAATTATCTTCAGCTCGGGCTTTGTGATGGAATCAAGACATAAATGGCAGACAACTAATGTCTAACTTCATTTATGCATGTTTGCTTTCCTTACACACTACCAAGTGCTTCATACCCTCACTCATTTACTCTTTAACAGACACCAAAAGGTAGAAACATGTATCCGTTTTCTTAGAGTAATAACTTGAAAGGCTCTTAAATGCTTCATTCAAAGCCACCTTGGGTGGTAAGTGAACTGTAGAGTCAGAATTCAAATGTAGGTCTAACTATGAATGTGAATTCTTAAGATACACACCTACTACTTCCCAGGAGCCATGACTTCTGGCCTCCTCGTGAGGGTTGAGAATCTTGAACCAAAAGTACCTAATGGCCATTAATATATGTTGTCTATAATTATTTGAATGAGGTACTTTTAAAATTTCAATGGTAATCCCGATATGCATGGTCTGCAGGGAAATAATAGTCCCGATCTAGATTTTCTGTTATTTAAATTGAAAACAGCAGCAGGATCAAAATATCACTACATTGGTCCTCACTTCTAAATGAGCTGTAAACAAGTCAAAGAAGACTGGGAGGCAGAGGGAGGCAGGCATAGGGAGGCAGGCAGACGGAGGCAGGCCTCAGGATCAGCAGATGCAAATTCATGTTGCTTAGACCAGGGAGTACAGATGATAGCTGAGATTAGTATTTCCAGCTCAGGTTTTTTTTTTTTTTTTTTTTTACTTTTTTTTTATTTGTTTTGTTTTTTAGACAGGGTTTCTCTGTATAGCTGCTCTGAATGTCTTAGAACTCACTCTGTAGACTAGGTTGGCCTTGAACTCAGAGATCTGCCTTCCTCTGCCTTCTGAGAGCTGTGACAAAAGGCATGGTGGCTGGGGTTAATATTTCCAGCTCAGTTTTAAAGTGGAAGAAGCCATTTGCAACCAAGCTGAATGAGAAATAGGTTAGCGATTACTAGTACTTAGATTGGTTTTACTTAAGCTAGCTTTTGGGAACTTTGACTTTTAAACTCTACAAAATTCTGGTTTTCTACCATTCCAAGGCCAGCCTAATTTGAAAATATAATCAGAGCAACATTAAACTACAACAAAACTTCAAGTTCTCCAAAAGAGAACAGAAAGGTCTGCAGTTGGGTTTGAATCTTGGGTAGTGAACTGAGGCACATGCCTGCTTGCTTCTTGTGCCTCAGGATCTCTTGGGACTTGCAAGTCATTTCTTTATTAATAACTTAAAATATGAAAGGGGCTTATTAATTTATTATTTATTTACACAAAATGAAAGGACGTCTCACAGATCACATTCTCTATAAGAAGCCTTCGAAGAACGATCAGCCTGCAGCCTGGGGCCACCTGGGAGAACAGTGCTGGTAGGCAACAGGCTTCCTGGCTGGGCCTAAAAACCAGCAAAGAGAAATTCGCAGTTCTTACCTCAGACTGGTGACCCTTACTTATGACAGAGTAGTATTCAAATGCCAGAACTAAAAAATGTATGGAATTTTTATGTGTTATATCCACTCAAAGTATTTTAAAAGGTGAAAAGATATTTGCATTTTGACACTATATTTGAATTTTTCATTTCAGCTCGTCACATACACTAGCTATCAGAGTATGATTGTTATCTTCCAATGAAAAGGAGTAGTACAATTTAACAGTTCAGCTTGGCGGTGGTGGCATACACCTTTAATCCCAGCACTTAGGGGAGGCAGAGGCAGGTGAATCTATGTCAGTTCAAGGCCAGCCTGGTCTACAAGGCTACACAGAGAAATCCTGTCTTGAAAAATCAACACACACAAAAAAATGTACCAGTCCAACAGGGACTTTCCTTCAGATAGAAGTGGTAGCAAATTTTGATGACCATGTTTTTAAGACATTACTTTATCTTTAATTATGCATATGTATGTGGAGGTTGGTGTGCGCATGTGTGAGCTCAGTTTCCCATGGAGTCAGAAGAGGGCATCAGATGGCCTGGAGCTGGAGTTACAGGCAGTTGTAAGCCACCCAACATGGGTGCTGGAAGCCGAACTTGGGACCTCGGAGAGGGCAGCGCACAGTCTTTACTGCTGAATCATCTCCTCCTCTGCACATTCAGTTTTGAACTGGAGAAATAAACCTGCTCCAGGACTAAGAATGTGGAGGGACAAACTGGTACCATCTTAACCTCATGATAAGGTCAGAGAGGACCAAGATTTCACAAGAGCAGTTGAAAGCAAAAGCCATTTTGTGCATGGAAAGCTGTGGGTATTCAAAGGAAAAGAGAGAAGTTGTGTCTCAAGGAAAAATGGCTATGAATAAAGCCCAATCGACTGCTTGCTATGCTGTGACAAGCAAAACAAGTGAAGAACAAAGCAAAGAGATACCCACTCCAGACTCCAGGGATGCCCCTTGTCCACAGGACAAGGAAGGCTTTGGCTTCTCTCAAGTGGCTGTGCTACCAATGAGGAAGAATGCTCAGGAATCTTCACTGGTGTTGGCCATCCCTGGCCAGGCAGGAACGCATAGCTCAAAGACACCCGGGACATACAGATTACCTAGGGGTCTATTCCATGTGTCCTTAAGGGGCAGAAGTTAAAGTCTTTGTTTTCAAGATGGTGCTGATGAGGAAGGGCTGTGGACTTCCAGAAGATGCTTCGAGGGTGGTGTTAAATCAACAGGGTTGAGCTCCCAATGGGGATTGAGAGGCCCTGGCTTCTAAATCTTGCTTTTAGCTTCTCAGCTGTGAGGTGAGCAGTTAGCTTTCTGCTGTTCCCATCTGGCGATCCCTGCCCCAGTCAGAGGACCAAAGACAATAGGTTCACCAGATCAAGGACTAGAAGCACTAAAACCAAACTAAGCTTTGTTTGTTTTGTTTGTAAATCAATTATCTCAGGTATGTTGTTATAATGATAGCCAACTAACACAATCTATTATGAAAGATATCACTTAAATCTGAGATTAAAAACCCCAATTTAGATTCCACCCCTACATTTGTGGGAATGTTCCTTGCCATGCAGTTTTTGACTATACGAAACAGAATGTCCTCTCAACTAAAGGAAGTTCCCCTTTATGTTGTTGTGCTAAGTAAAGGAAAACACAGAGTGACATACGTTGGGGAGGGGAAACAGCATTATCTCATCGAGTTAAGTTCCTGCTCCATTTGGCTTGTCATGCTTGCTTGCTGATCTTCCATGGACACAGTCTGCATAGTCTCAAAGCATAAATAGATGGAGACATCTCAAACACTCTGAAGCAATGTCTCCATTCAAGATACCCTGTGAGATCTGTGCAGAACTGTAGTTAACTGAGGACCCTGAAGGCCACTGAAAAAAACTGATGTCTTCAGCCTTCTCACGGAGTCAGAAGCAGAAAGAAAACAAAAAGCTGGATGTTATCAGCTGGGGCCCTTGTTAACGTTCTTCTCAGTCATTACAGACTTGTGCTAAGTCCAGCCCTGTTCAGGTAGATTAAAACATGCAGCTCCCCTAAGGTGGAGATGTAAAGATATGCTAATTACTTTAAAAAGTAATGCAGGATGCAGAGGAAAAGCTCAAAAATTCTCGTGTTCACATTCTTAGTCTGCTTTTGTAAGGACAGGTGCATTCAGAAAGTCTCTCTCCCTCTGTCTGTGTATGTATAGTAAAAATGAGAGAAACTAAAGTGTCTTTACCTTATGATCAACAAGAGAGGAGGAATCCGTTTGTTTTCCTTTGGGAAGATCCAGAATCTCTACAATCCTTAATTGGGATAGAAGGCTGAACTCACTAACTCACTTCGGCAATTTTATTAATCTCCAGGGGGCCATGGATTGTTGAGGGGCTCCCCTAAGGAAGACACATTGGAAGTCCATATTCGTATCATTTTTAACTTTTATTTTTTCATTTTGGATGATCATGAACAGTACACTTACGTGATGAAAGCACCGTGACTCAGTTGTGGAGTTCTCTTTGTGAAACCAGGATTCTAACACGGGCATTGTTTGCATGCCATACTTAAAATTCTGCATAGTTTCTAGTTCTTCAGAAACATAAGCATTCTCAAAGTAAGACCTGCATAATAATATTGGCATTATCCTCACTGCATAAAAGTGCTTTTAGATATCTGAGCAGCAAGGAAAAGACCTCAAGAGACAGGTGAACTGGGTGTGATCCCCAGCGGAAAGGATCAAGAACCTAACTGAAAAATGAGAAAGTCACATAGTCAAGAATACAAAGAACCATTTCCTATGGCACATGATTGATCATCAAATTAGTGTCTAGCCAGGCCATTCCACGGAGAGGCTCAAAGGAAACAGTAACTGGGCTTTGCCCATGCTTCTTGGATGGAGTTTCTGGAGAGGGGATGGCAGGGAGAGGAATGTGTGTGTCTGATGGGGGGGAGGCCCAGCATTTTGTATTTTATAACGCTCCTACATTAGTGGGGGAAACAAGGTGGCTCAGTTTTGAGAACCACTGCTGCACACTAGGATGGCACCGTTGGCAAACGCATGTCTAGCATTAAGATGAGGTGTAAATTAAGTGGGTGTGTAAGATTTCCCCTTTGCTGCCACCACTGATGCACAGCACACCGAGATGGGGAGACACTGTCCTCTATCATGAATCTAAGAGCCTCTGTGCAGCTGAAAGGCTTCAAAGGCATGGAGGTTTAAAGGAAAGCCCCTGCCTGACAAACAAGAAGAAGCTAGGTCGGCAGGGAAGAGGAGCGCATAACAGACTGGAAGCAAGGCATCAGAGGGAGGATTCACACAGGAAATCAGACTCTCTGCTTGGCTTCTACTGTGTCTTCATTAAGGAAAATGGAATGTCAACACTGGGACTTCATACTTCTCAACAAATACGAGGCTACTCTTGTTGATTCCAGCGGCACTTAAAATGTCAGTGTCATTGTTTGCAAGCTGTGATGTATTCTCGGCTGTGCAAATTTGTTTCCTTTTAACATTTCTTCGGTAACGGAGATCTAGTTTATTTAGCCAATCTTATTCAACTCTTGTACTTAGTAGAGAAACTGGGACAAAAATGAGCTGGTGTTGATGACAGAACATAATTGTATACAACCTTTGTAAACAATGTCAGAAGGAAACCAAGTCCCCAGATGACCGGCAATGCCACTAGGACTGTATATTAGTGCTAATGCCCCTTGAAACAAATCCCAATACCCTGGTTACCTGAGTGAGTGGTTTCTGGTAAGATCAGGTTGACGCTCTTGTAGAATTTCAAAGATGTTGGGTTGACGCAAAAATGCTACAATTTTGTCATTGTAGGCTGAAAGAAAAATAAGAAGAAACAGTAATTCTTTAAAAAAAAATCTACCACCACCTCTATGACAATATAAGTTCAGCCTTTAAAAAAATATGTTTTATGGCTAACTCTCATTTCACCCAAGCCCTCGGGTTACAGCTGTTCTGCCACTGTGGCCATAGATGTTTACATTCTAATTTTGTCTAAGCTGTTACATGAGTCTCAGGCTTACACCTGCTACATGCTACTTGGTATCTTTTTATCAGTTCATCTGATTAGCCATATTTACCTTCAAATGACAAGATTAGTTCACTAACATGATTCTAGATATTCATAAGTTAAAACTTACCAAAATCAACCTGAATGCCAGGCATGGTGGTCCAGGTCTATAATCCTAGTACTTGGGAGGCTGAAGCAGGAGGGTTGAATTTGAGGCCACCCTGGCTATATTCTAGGACTCCGCCTCAAAAACCAAACCAAACCAAAACCTCATATGAATGACAACCATAAGGAGTGGAAACCATCTTCTGGCTGAATAGTAGCTAGCCAGAGAGATAAAGAGAACCAGAGAGCCCCTACCCACCAAAAAAAGCCACCAGTAACAGTGACAGCTACAGCCACAGTGGTAATGACAAGCCACTCTCTAACTCTACATGTAAATAAACGCAAAACTCGAACAACTCCACACTAAACCCACTGTATAAACAATTGCAACTCAAATCACCAACTGGCAAAACATATATTTTACACAATCTACAACCCACTTAACATGGCTATAGAAATCTCAAAATTATTCATTAAGATTTATTAGGAGTTCCATTATTACCTGTTCTGTCAGGAAAATGAATCTGCATACTTAAGATAATTCTACTTAGTTATATTACTAATAATCAGGGATAGGCAATAAATATAATTCAGAGAACCAAGGTCGGGGTGTTTGAATTCACAAAACAACAGAAAGCTCAGTAATTCTATAGGTAGATGTGTCTGAAGTGCCATACTGTCTACACATACATATTTTTGTTAAATGTTTTAGAAGTTTTTAAGTGCTATCTGATTAAACAGAATTCTAATGTCAATGTCAAGGATCTCCATGATATGTGAACTGAAGACACTTTTGTAATGGAATTGTTTTTATATTCCACCCAAGATCAGAGATGAGACTTCTTATGCAATAATTTTATAGCTCTCCAAAGTTATGCATGTAGTATTTAGTAACACATTACATATTAATAATGACATCATAAATGTAGACAGACATCAACCCTAGATATCATATCTTGTGGTTACGAAGTTCTTTAGGTCACGGGCATTATTACACTGTATTTTATGACAAAGGACTGTTTTGTTTCTTTGTCTGTTTCTAGAGTCAAGTTTCCCGTATTTGGGGAAATCATGTGGTCAGCTCGTCTGGAGTACAATGGGGGTGCCTTGCCCCGGGAAAGCCATCTTCATGATCATGGTCTCTCCTCTGCCAGGTAAGCATCTTTGGGATGCAAATAGAGAGGAAGAGAAAGCTGCTCTCTTTAAGGTAGGCAGGGAGTCTATCTGCCTCTCAGCAGTGTGTCCCTTCTGCTTGCCTTAGGGGCTCCAGGTTGGTGGCCACGAATATATTTTAATGTCATCACTTTAATAAGTTAAAAATGGTTTTCACACCTGTAAGCCCACATCCGTCTGCTTCAGCTGACTATCTGGAGGCTTTGTTGCTTTCTATTTGTTATAGAAGCCCTTAAGAATGTGGTAGCCTTACTTCATTGGCATATGAAGCTACCACGGATTCACACACCACGTAAACTCTATCTTAGGATGCGATATAGTCTAATTATATGTTTGTTCAAATGCTTAATTTACGATGATTGCATATTATCTCATCAGTTTTTCTTACCTTCAACAACCCAATACTTGCTATGTAGGACAGGATTTTATAAGGCAGGAGCTCTCTGAGACTCAAGGGACTAGAGTTTTGTTGTAAGTTTCTTAAAGGGAAACCAGTAGTTTTCTGATACAGGGGAAGGTTGGCAGGAGGCACAAGTCAGCACAGTATGCACTCTATGCGATAACATGATAATAGATACACATTTGTAGAAAGAGCTCACATACCCACTGGGACCATGTCCTGGTACTGTGGCCTACTGACTGTATTGAACGTACTGGACGGTCTGGGAAGAACTGGTGGGCCTGCATGCCGAGAGTCTTCTCCTACCTGCGAAGGCAAGCAACATTTACATCTGCACCAAGAGCTACCGGACTTTGCATTGGCATCTCAAGCTGCGTTGTTCAAAACACTTAGGGCAAATAACCAAGTGATGAGAACAGGTGCCAGCTACAGGGCTGACACCAGATCCTTGAAAGGTCTGTTCCTAAGGCTTAATGCTGGTGAGTGAGACAGAAGCTGGGTCAGTGAGCATGTGTGGCTCCGTACTTCTGTCTGCTTGTAGTTACTGAGGCTGCAGAAGTAAAACTGTAGACTTGTTGATCAGGATTATCTTCACGGACAGAACCCCGACCTGCCATAATACAGGCAAAGGAAAGAGCTGTGTGACACAACATGCATTGGTGTGTGCCTGGATGTTCCTTCTTTTACTTAGCCAGGTAGATGAGGGAATTCCCTGCCTCAGCAGAGGAGGAGCTGAGCAGCAGCAATCTTCCTGTGGAGCTCTGCATGAGGACATTATCTCCTGAAGCAATTTTATATGCCCATTAGAGGACCTGGTGTAACAGCTCTGTCTGGTTTCTGCCTCCCACACCAGACAGCCAGCAGTAGCAGGTGTGCAAGATCTAAAAATGTTTCCCCTGGCTTGAATTATTCATTGCACCTCTCATGGGTTTAGAAACTCCTACAAATAGATAACCAAAACCACTCATTTGTGCTCTTACCAGGAAACTCCAACACTGCTCTGGCCTGTGTCCTAGCATGTTCTCCCATATTCCAGGAGTCTTTTAAGATGAGCATCATGGTCATGAGAAGAGGACAGGAGGTGATCCTGGGTTTATACATTTTCAGATGGAGTTCCCATCTCCTCCCCCTAAACTCTTCATAGCCATTTTATCGTATTGCACCAGCTGGACATGTTTTGAGGCCCCTTCTACAGCCCTTCACATTAGAAACAACCTTTCTACCCCCTCTACTCCGCCCCGCCCCCACTTATCCTTCAGGAATGCTCTCCCTCATTCTTCAAAGTATAGTTCAAACAGTCCCTCCTCCATGAAAACCTCCCTTGTCTCCAAGCTGATGTTAAATATAATCTCCTCCGAGACCCCATGGTGCTTGGTGTATATTTCAAAACCAGTTGTTATTATTAACAGTTTTATTGTTTGTTTCCTATGCCCCAAATAAAGCTAGGAACAATAAAAGGAAAGCCTGTATTACTATCTAAAACAGCTATTAAAATACAGCTTTCTTTCTCAGCTACTAAAAAATGTATTTATTATTGTGGATGGTGTTTGGGGTGCCACAGTGTGCATGCGGAGGTCAGAGGGAAAGTCTGTGGAGTGAGCTCTCTCCTTCTACTCTTTCATGGGTCGCAGGGACCAAAGCCAGGCCTCCAACCTGTACAGCAGGAGTTTAGACACCCCGCCCCAGCGTCCCTGCAGGTCCTTCAGAAGTTTATCGAGGATTTTTTTTACTGTTATTTTCATTCATTTAAAATATAGCTTTGAATTTGCTCTCCATATTATGAACGTGGGAAATACTTGCTAACTGTTTTATTCACACTATCAACTGCAATGTTTCTGGACCGCAGCAGACTTCAGCAGAGATAGCAGTATCTCTACCCATTGCAGAAGCTGCTGAGTGAAGCCAGGGGTGGTAACAGCTGAGACCCATTACATAACCAGAAGTCTGCTCAGCCTGCTTCTTCTTTCTGAGGTATTGGCTTTGAGGAACACAGCTAGGCACTTGGGGAAGATTCAATCACTATCTACACATCTTCAGGCAGCGAGCTAAGCAACTCAATACACCAGCCTAGATTATCTCCCACCTGTCAGTAGGCTGCCATGTGTGATCATTTCCTAGAACAGCCAAAGGTCTTGAAGGCTTCACTTCTTAAAACCAGGCCACAAGACAGTGGTCAATTCCTCCAAGAAATATAGGGACTGCCTCCAGCTGCAATGCTCCCCAAGTGCTGCCTTACAGAGAATATTCTTCGAGAAAGTTTGGACAATCATGTGGCTGTGCGCTGGGTTAGTCTCTGTTTCACTCTTCAGTTCCCATCAATAGGAAGAGAGATTTTCATTAAGTTGCTAATATACCCTCCAAGGGCCCTCTCCCACGACTGGCTACTCCTAAACCATAAAAGTAATTCAAAGTTCTGAGGCAGGGACACAGAAAGAAAGTGTAAGTATAGATATTAGTCTCATATACCTTTTCCCATAAATATCATCCTGACGAGACAGAACGGCCAACTTCCATAAATGGTTAAAGTGCACTGTCCATGTGTAAGGCCAGGAGGAGTCCTAATTACGCTATACATACACGCAAGGTCCAAGGGTGAGAGTTCAATTGGATTTGGTAAGATGAATGCTGTCAGTGTCCTCCAGCTTACCACTAATGGTTTACAGGACAGCATGATAAAGATTTATTGGCTGCTCATAAAACATAAATATTTTCATGCATACCTCACCCTGCATTAGACTTATAGATCACTTTTATATGAGCTTCTTGTATATAGTCTTCTATAAACAGTGAACACATGATGCACTAAAGCAGTATGAGCAGCATGAGGGGAAATTCCATGGGCGGAATTCTGATGAATTGAATCCAGCTACTTATTGCAGTCATATTTTTTTTTCTTATAAGAAAGCCTTCAGAATATTTGGCCTACAATACAATATTGGAAATGTGATATGCATTTAGAAACGGCAGGCAGGAAAAGAATCTTAATTCCATATGTCTATGGGAACCTTTAGAAACTGTGTACACCAAGTCACAGTGCGCACTCAAAGCATAAACTTACATGAAGGAGAAGAAATTCCAACCACAAACAGTCCTTTCATGGATTTAAGTTGCTGAAAGCAAAGCGAAACAAGAAGGGATTTTGTGTTTTGGGCCAGGGTACTAGAGCGCCCTCGTGTGGTTACCACAGACCACTGCCGACTGACAAAGTAGAACGCAGGGGAGTGTCCAGTCATTCTTAGTTTGGACCATCTTCTCTGTGCCGTCAGCACATAAATCATCTGTCAAACACATTCTAATTTTAGACAGCTCAATAGAATCCCCCTTGATGGATATTTTAATGGCATCCAGTAAACCTCATTTAAGAAATACTTCCCTGCAGTTAATATAATTTTAGTCCACTAAAAGTTCACTCATTGCTGTACTATGAGGCTGTTCTTGGGTGTGCAAAGGATTTATTGTCTCCGGTGAGCATTTTGTTATTACTGATTCCCTCTGAGTTAAATACGAAACCTTACTCTTCAATCTCTCGTCTTATATCCCAACTATTGAATTTGCAATTTAGCCTAGAGGTAATTTCAGAGAAACCTTGTCAACATTCCAAAACTTTCTAGGCCTCTAAAATAATACACTTAAACTAAACTAAAAACAGAAAACAACACAAACACCAAAGCAGACAACACAATCTCACGGAGCACCATATGCATACCCTGGCAGCTACTGTCAATCAATTGGTAGGTCCCTAAAGGCCGAGACTCACCTCACCGGCACTGTGGCTGCGTTGCCTCGTCAGGTGTTGCCGATGGACCAGCGCGCTTGTGGGTCTACTGCTCTGAAGCGGGAGCCGAGGATCAATGAAAGTGGTAGTTCTGGAGTTGTGGTCGACAAAAAATGCCTAGGATAAATGCACAGGGGAGTAGTCAACACACACTACATACGTGTCTCAGCAGACCGGGAGCAGTGCACAGTCAGGAAACAACCCACTTTTGAGTAATAATCTTAGTTTCATTTTCTCACAATGTGCAACCCTTGGAAGAATTTCTTGATATCCATTAAGAAAGGGTGGACTAGAGAAAGAAAGGCACATTTATCCAGGATCCAGAATAAAGAAAGCAGGAAGGAACATTCCCATGAGGCTTTAGAAAATACTCCAAGACACAGTCATCAAAGATGTGACCTTAGAAGGCTGCCATGGGGTGGACACTTGGAGCTGGGTGTGGTGACACATGCCTGTAATCCCAGCACTCTGACTACAGAAGCAAAAGCATCCTAAGTGGAGGCTACCCTGGGATACACAGGGAGGTCCATTTCAAAACAAAACAATGATCCTAACAGTGAGCAAGAAGGCCATTTGGACTCCTTTAACTGATGCTCTTGGGCCCCACCCACTCCTGGTTATTATAAAATTCTAATCATCTAAAACTTCATCATTAACGATTTCCTTCTTCTCCCTTTTCCGATGCAGTCTGCCACCAGACTCTTCCTGTCTTCCCAGTGTCCGGTCCTCTCTGTTCCCTCCTAGCCTGAGCACCTCTCCATCACTTCAGGGGTTCATTTTACATAAGTAGCATACCTATAGTTTTCTCAGGTGCTCTATCTCCTAAATGCCTTTACTCCTCAAACCTTTTAGAAGACTCTTCCTTCTCAGAACACAGATGACATCACTACTCTAAAACAAAGTCTCTAAGTCATCCCAAAACTTTCCCTAGCTTCACAGTTCCTAAAAATCCAAGTATCTGAATTTTTAACTTCTTTTACCAACAAGCAGAAAAATGACAGAACAAGAATGTTTCCAGTCCCTTCTCACACTATGGGATTTCAAAGTACACACACTGAGAAGGTCTTTTACAACCTAAGAGAGAAAACATCCTCTTTCTCAACACTGTGAAAGGTGCGAGGGTAGCAGACCTTCACAGCCTTGTATTGACAGGCTCTGGCCTCAAATTTCACGCCGGCCTTCATTTTATTTAGGTTTCTAATATACCTGTTCATGATTCCTGACATTATTCAAAATGTCATGAAGTCACTATCATTTTTACAAATAACTATGTTTAACTCCTGCCTTTACAAAGCAGATACTATCAAGTCTCTTTTTTGTATAAATTATCATCAAGGAGATTTTACTACAAACATAATAATATAAGCCATGTTACTTAAGGGAATATATAAAAAGTACTAAAATAGTATTGTTCAATTATGCAGTACCTCAGGAATGCTTTCAAGAGATGGGTGCCAATGAGAGGTACCATGATGCACTTGTAATTACAAGAGCAAATGGGTGTCTGCATGTAGGTCAATGCTGATTTGCATACAGTGTCAGAGCCTAATTCAATGTTAACAGGCTTGTTTAAAACCCATTCTCTAAAGAATTGTGTAAATGCCTCCAGGGAAGGGACTATTTCTTACTCACCCTGTCATCCTCAATAGCTTTTAGGACTGACCTGGGAAAAGGAAAGCACCCAATAAAAAACAAAGTGCTCCAAACACATTGCAAAGTATGAGTGACAGCTCCTACTTAACTAGCCAAGAATTAAAATCTATAAAAAACACAAAAATAGCTAACAATGTAGAAAAATAAAAAAAGAAACGAGAGGGGAATATGAAACATAAGGTCTAAGAAACTAGAGAAGGTAAGAGCTAAATAGGAGAGAAAGTTTCACAACTCAAGTTATAGATAGGAGTAAACTCTCAGACTAAAAGCATTCAAAGTAGCAGGTAAAGTAATCATGGAATGCTTGGGACCCAGAAAAGAACATGCCCATTTCTGAGCTCCACCCTAATGTAATTTTGGGCAAACTGCATCTAATTTTTAAGGTTTATTTATTCTTGTTTCTCTGTTAAATTATGAATGACATTATGTCTATTAAAGAAAAGCTAATGAGAAGGTTCATACACATTTTTAAACACAATTTCTATGTCATTTCAAACATGAGTTACTGCTATTATCATGAAGAATAGTTTTCAATTCTAATCCTTTTTCCTAAACATTCCAAAGTTTCTTGCTGCAGTCCATGCACAAGGGTAAAAACACAAACCACAAGGACCCCTAGAAGACAAGCAAAAGCAATTCTCCCAAGCTCCTTGCATCTGAGGGTTCGAGACTTAGTGGCATATGCCACTTGTAGGAAGTCTCCTTCCTGCTCATCCTCTATCCTGTCCCCTAAAGTAAGGATGTAACAGTCAGCACACTAAAACAATTGGAAAAGAACTAATGGGGGGTGGCTCTTGCAACCCCAGGACCTCCTGAAAAATCCAGCTTGCTCACCTCCGAACTTCCTCATATAAATGAGTACACCTTCAGGTGATCTACCACAATCCAGAAAAGCCAACCCCAGTTGGTCACACCAAAATCTCCACTGCAAAGCAAGCGTGCTCTCTCTAAACTTCAAACTGGAGCCACCATCTCAGCAAGGGATTTTCATTATCTGAGTAATAACGACTATTAACACAGTTGTGTAACAATTGTAGATTTCAGTGATACACTTGGGAACTTACAAAGGGGGTACTTGAACCCACCTTTCATCCATCTACATTGCCTAATGAGCACTCCTCCCTCTCCCTCTCTCCTTTTCATAGCTCCTATGCTGCTCTCTGCCTACCATAACATCCTACCTGCTGTGTTCCTCATGCCTCTCCCACACCTCCTACCAAACCCGGTTTTGGAAAAGCACTTAAGTAAGCCTTGAACTGGGCTGAGAATCACAGCCACTCACTCACAGCGCTTGGTTTCTGTGCTGCTGCAAGCTGGAAAGACTGCCCCTGACTCAGCAGCACAGTCCACATGACCTGCCCAGCTCTCACCACTAGCACGTTAGAGGCATGGCCATGGCCAGGGAGTGCTATGTGTCCATCACAAGGGGTTCTGTTTCAGAGTCAACGGGATGCGTATACTATTTACACATGCTTTCCCAATCCCAAGCACTTGAGAGGAAAAGTCCTGAAAATCTCCATCAGTACCACAGCAGCCAGGAGCAATTACTCTGCATGTGTTTTGGCTTTGCTCAGGGGCCTCTGTGTGACTTTGGATAGGTTTCCTTAGCATTTTGCTTTATATGTGTAAAAGGGGGTGACTCAGGTCACAGTCAAGGTGTGAAAACTGTAGGCTGCTTTAAATGTAGGCCTGGGTTTCATCTCCAGCACCACCATGAGTAAGAGAATACAGATGAAGCATGAAAAATCACCATGCACCTTGTAGGTTGGCTAGTTCCATCGGTGACACACATCAATTATATCAGAAAAGTGGATCACTTTCCACAGGGGAGGCTAACTAGTTCGAGTGGAGCAATGAAGTTGACCTGTCCTTTTTAAAAAATTGGGTCACTTTCATCTCACGATGTTTGAATAGCCTGCAATTCCTTCTGAGTATCTATCTAGCAAGCAATTGTCTGAAACTTCATTTAAAAAGCAATCATCTGAAGAAATAAGGCCTTTTCAAATGAGCTACTCACAGAGAAGCTTCTAAATGCCACCATTCCCTACTGCTAAATTTCATTAAGGAAATCCACACAAGCTTCACACTGCTGGGCCAACTAAGGCTAACAACACAAAAACTGAAAGGAATGTAAACGCACACACTCAAGTCTCATTTTAAAAACATCTACCCTTTCACAGCTTCAGGGCACAGTCAGAGACAAGAAATATGGGATGCTTGGAGCCAAGTGGTATTTTAGCAAGGCCAAACAAAATACATTTCTTTCCTTAGACAATTCTTTTTTCTTTTTTTTAAACTTCTATTATTTTAAGCAAAGGAAAAGCCATCAGTATTTATGAAGAAATGACAACCTCAGACTCAGCAAATCTAAGCTAAAGAAGCTTGAAATTGTTTTCAGTTAATATTTTGCCAAACCAGGAATCTATATGAAGGGACCATGTAGGTAAACACAGAAAAACACAGAGCTGCCGCCCCAGCACCCCCCCCCCCAGACAGGCGGCAGGGACCATCATTCTCCTTTCTCTAATTTCCCTGCACTTATCACTGTGGAAGACTGAGAATGGAGTTATTCAAATTAACACTTTTTCCATGGAAAACAGAGGCACCGGTGTAGACTCTGAAAATAATGTTTTTAAAATCCCAATGTAAGTCATGAGGCTAACTTAGAAACACAGAAAAGGGCAAGTCCATCTCCTGACTTGGGCAATTCCTTCCAGAGTCTAAGAACTTAGCAAACTTACTCAAAAACATCCACAAAGCCCAAGCTTGTTCTAGTTTCTCATTCAAAAAGACACACAGCCCCAGAAAGACACTCTTATCTTGACATTTGCCTTCTACAGCTACTAATTTGTGTTTTTTAAACATGATAAGCACAATATTAGTTTATGCTAATTATATTAGATAACGGGTGTGAGTGTGATCTTTTCATAACCATATCTAATATACTTTGATCATATTTATCTTCCTGTGGGTTTTTTGTTGATGGCACACGCCTTTAATCCCAGCACTCGGGAGGCAGAGGCAGGCGAATCTCTGTGAGTTTGAAGACAGCCTGGTCTACATAGTGAGTTCCAGGACAGCCTCCAAAACAATACAGAGAAACCCTGTCTCGAAAAAAACAAAAACAAAAAAGAAAAAACAAACAAACAAAACAGTGAGCTATCTATACATTCAAAGTTTCATTTCATCTCCTGGGCTGCTGAGTAGCTTGAGGTGATTAAATCAGGCCATTCCACAGAGTTACTTGTAGAATAACAACTAAAGAGATATGCCACAAAAGTAATAAGTTCAGCTAAATAAACAAAACAAAATAAAGAAAACTAGAATAAAACAACAACCCTATATTTTGCAAAGAGGAGCTTATATTCCAAATAGATTTTTTTAAATTCATGTGAGAGTTCCAAATATTAAGATGCCTTTTACCCACTGACTTGAACAGAACTTGACCCAGTAAATAATGACTG